GGATTTGCCCTCCGCGATTATGTCATCGCGGTAGGGTCGCGTTTTTTCTTTGCGCTTCGAACGGCGCGAATTAGTCTTCACGCTTATGTCTCCGCGGATAAGGGCTTCGTGGATTTGTGATGGAACCTCCTTTCCCCCCTTTCCCGAGCCTCCTCGTGCGCCCTGCACTTACCTGCATCCAAAACAGGCCGCATGGGGACTCCTGGGGGGGGGGGGCAGGGCCAGCCAGTAGTAGGATTTGGGGGTTCTCCGTACTGCACAGAATCTTAGGTAGAGGTTCTCCCGAACTCCTACGAACCCCCTGCAGCCCACCCCTGCCTTTAAAATTTGTCACAGAAGGTTCAGTTCAAATATCAGGAGGCTAATAGGGCTTTACACGAAGAAGCAAGGTGTTCTTGTTCCCCTCTCAATCTCACTAGGTGGTTTAAAATCCTCATCATGTACATTTTTTATATTGTAAACACAAACAAGCATGACCTAATATACAGTCCCTGAGTTCTGACCATAATGGAGCCTGTCCATCATAGCCATAATTTGCAGAATCGTAATGAACGTTGGTATTGTGACCATTTTTTTGCAAGTCACTAAGAAAATTACCATAGTCATTAAGTGAAACCATGGTTGTTAAGGAAATGTCATGGTTATTAAAGCGAACCAACGGCTGTCTATGGGGAACATCAGAACTTCAAATCTGGTCACTAAGCCAGCCGCAACTACAGCTTCTTCAGTGCCATTTTAAGTTTGAATGGCCACTGAAGAAGTGGTTATTAAATGAGGACCACCTCCATTGGTTTTTGCCACTTCTGCAGTTTCCTATCTAATTTGTAGTGTATTCTATCACTGCTGAACTATGAAAATTTGTTCTATGATTCTATCTACGTGTAGCTTTGGAGCAAAAAAGGCCACCAAATTTAAAAAGCTTTTTAAAATACCAAGACCAAGTGTCAATTGTTAGTTTTCAAATTAGGTTCCGTTGATTAATTGTGCTTTGAAATTAATAATTACTTAATATTATGAATTATAGTATTTCTGTATTATGCAACCTGAAGAAATCAGAGAATATATTTATAGTACAGGTAGCCCCTTGACTTACAACCATTCATTTAGTGACCAAAGTACAATGGCACTGAAAAAAGTGATTTATGGCCATTTTTAATACTTACAACCATTTGCAAGATACTCATGGTCACGTGATCATAATTCGAATGCTTGGCAACTGACTCATATTTATGATGGTTGCAGTGTCCTGGGGTCATGTGATTGTCTTTTGCGACCTTCTGACAAACTCGCATCACAACTGTGTTACTAACTTAACAACTGTAGGGATTCACTTGACTGTGGCAAGAAAGGTCATAAAATGGGGCAAAACTCACTTAACATCTGTCTTGGCTAGCAACAGAAAATTTGGGCTGAATAGCTGTATTAGTGCTGCTGCACTGTCCCTAGTGCCACGTAATGGAGGAAGCTCCCATTATCTGTCCCAGCTTCTGCCTAGCAATTTGAAAGCATGTAAAAATGCAAGTAGAAAAATAGGAGCCACCTTTGGTGGGAAGGTAACAGTGTTCCGTGCGCCTTTGGCATTCAGTCATGCCAGCCACATGACCATGGAGACATCTTTGGACAGCGCTGGCTCTTTGGCTTTGAAACGGAAATGAGGACTGCCCCCTAGAGTTGGGAACAACTAGCATGCCTATGCGAGGGGAACCTTTACCTTTACCTGTATTTGGGGCTTTGAAAATGGGGAAAGAAGTTGCCCCCAAGTTAAATATAGAAAAAGCTAAGACAGAATCTTTCTGTCTTTTTAAAACCAGTCAGATTGGTTAAGATTATTCTATTCATTGTGGAATTTCACAGGAATGAATTATTCAAAACCTACCTACTATCAGGACTGCATTTTCCCACTCTCCCACACACCCTTTTTTCCTGCTTAAGTCCTTAGTTTACTAACCTGATTTTCTTCCTGAACCACCCGGTACTGTTCTTTCCAAATCGTGATTTTGGAGGCTTCATCTTTCCTTAGGGCCCTCTCTTTTTTCAGCTCAGGACTCCAGAATGTCTTGATGCTGTTCATGGAGGAGCTAAGTTTGCTTTCTTTCACTTCGACATCCTTCCGCAATATATCATTTTCCCGGAGCACTTCCTTTAGCTGTGTCTGCAGGTCCATTATTGTGTTGTCCCTAGCTTGGCGTAGTGAATGAGGCACTGTAGAAGCCATGCTCACAGGAGGAAGATGATGTTCTCCAAATGCAATAGTATCGCTGGCAACTCCACTACTGGCAATGTTGGGGCTGCTGCCCATTGCAGTCATCCTAACGCCGTAAGGCAAGCGACCCCCAGATCGGCCAAGGGTCATGGTGCTTTTAGGTGTATCTGCGCCCACATTTTCATGTTCACTTAGGTACATGGGGCCTGACGTGGCATAGGCAGCATTTAAGGACTGGATATTTTCCATCGAAAGTGTCTTGCCACTTCCACCTCCAGCACTACCTCCAGAGCTGCCCCCTGTGCTGTTGGTTCGACGATGCCCCAATCGTGGTGAACGTGGCAGCCTTGGTGAACGCCCAGGGCTCTGGCTACTTGGCTCAATTTTCCCAACTGACCGAGCACTTCCATACATGATTGAATTTCTGATGGAATTTGATTATGACTTGAGATTCTCTGAAATGTTCTTCCTATGTTTCTGTTTAAGGCCGGTTACTTTTATATTAGGTCCAAGCATTCGTTCCTGAAATCATAGTTTTTTGATGTCAATCATCTGAAACAGAAACAGAAATATAAATATCTCATTTCACACAATCTATTCCATTGCTTATTGTTCAATATGCTTTAACTTTCCTTATATTAGCAAGAGTTCAAATACATGGTGCACTATGTAAATTTAATATTTTTAAATTATTTTGAATCTTCTTCAGGTGTTATTTGTAAAATCTGTTATATTATGCTCGCAAGCATATCTATTTTTCTTTTCGTCTTTACTCCTGCGTACTGTAACATTTATTAATTAGCTCCTTATGCGCACATATATAAAAATAAATTAGTCTGGATATGAAGACCATGATAAATAAAGGCAGCACCATAAATGCAATTATTGTGCCTTTAAAAATGGTAGTACAAAGATTTGCACTTTTTTTTAAGCATCAGTCATCAGATTTTAATGCTGAAATTTAGAATTTTGTTATTAAATTGAAGTAAAAAAATCAATCGGAGAGACTGCTAGAAATATTTCAGATGCCATAGCGTAAAGCAGAAGTGACATATGGCAGTAATGTTTTATAAGACAATAAATATTCTTTTTATAGGATCCTTTTATAGGATCAAAACATTTAACGGATTAAAAGCATCATCTAAACCACAACTACTGAATGGTTAACAGCACTTATGATGTACATCACCCAGAGTCACTGGTTGAGAGGGGTGGCTACAGAAATCAAATAAATAAATAATAATAATGAAATCATTAAGGACAAAAAGCAATGGCCTTAGTTCAACAAAAAGCTACCAATCAACTAACTGTTTCAGATTATTCAATATATATAAAAATGTAAAAGTGAAATTGTAGAAAGTGTAGAATTTCTAATTGGTGAGAAGTTAAAGAAAGAATGTAGAATGGAATTCAGATGGAAGCAGATCTTGAAAGCTGTCAGAAGGGAAAGAACTGAGGTGCAGAACATTTTGATTCAAACTGCTTTGAATAGCTCTATTTGAATCAAAATGTTTGCATATCCCTGAGGGACATTTGGAGTACAAGAGAATGTGGAAAGGAAAAATAATGGCACTGGTTACAATAACAACTTGGTAAATTGACTTTGGCACGCAAAATATAGAAATATGTTATACCAAACTTGAAAGTAACACTTAGCCTTAACACTGCCCTCTCCAGTTACCAAATTCTGAAAAGCACTCTCTGTTGCTTCTATGGGTTTGCAGAAAATTAGCATAAGGACAATAATTTCTATGTACTGGTCTGCTTCATATAGATGATCAAGGTGTAATAATATCAGTCAATGTCTCCATCTTTAGTAGGAATAAAAATCAGAGGATTCCTCAATCGTGTAGAACAGAGGAAATTCTATACATGATTATGCAAGTGTAAATGTTACCCTCTCAACTTAATATATAATTTCATAATTTCTTCATACAGTAGCCCAAATTAAAAACAAATCTGAATCTAAGCTGGCAGTTTAAGACAGAATATCAGTAATATAATATCTAAGACTATTAGGATTACTCAGAATTATTAAAAGGTCTCATTCTGAGGTTATAAGGAAGATTGTTCTCGTTATTCAAATAGTCCGTGTGTCCTCCTTCTCAATTTCAGATAGATCCCTATTTCTTTCTGCTTTGGATAAGCTGCACTGCATCACCTCTCTAAATGGGGATACATGCTTGAAGTCAGTGCTGGAAAACAGACCCTGACTTTAATTCTCGGGAGCTGGGATTTGTTTGCTTTCAGGATCTGCACAAAAGTACTTAATTATACAGTTTGTCAAGGCACATTCAAATTAGAGTTGTCACGGAGGCATTTTTGTTTCTCACTCACTAGTTAAAAAAATAGAATTGCTGTGGGTGGAGAAGCCAAGACTGCTTGGTGTAATAAGATGAGCTAAAAGCTCATCCATGCAAAGCAAGAGCCAGATAAAAACACAAGTGAGGAGAGTAGGAAAGAGACACAAACTATGTGCAATAAGTCCATGGAGAAAGACACAGTATAGGTAACACAGATTATGCTAAGTCTTATTACAGAACTATTTAGCATGAGGCAATTCAGTGCCATTTATTCTGACTTGAAGCAACAACTTAAGTAAGTATGCACTCATCACTGAACAGATACTAAAGATTATGACCGAGAAATGAAAACAGCAATTCTATAATGCTCATTTTATTTGCCCTTTATTTTTATTAATGGTATTTTGGAACTGATTTTTGTTAAGAAAGTGGGGCTGAAATATCCATTAAAACAGCAAGAAAACTGTAATATTTTTATCAGAGTTTTCATAATTATATCGTGTCATATAGATACAAGTTAGGCAAAATAGTGAAAAAGTATAAACCGGCTTTATACCTTCTCTGATACATATTCAGGTTCTGATCAACACCTTGTGAAACCATTTCCATTAAACTACTGATAAACAATAATTGTATATACAATGTATAGAAATAGAAATCCATAAGGCAAGAAATTTTTAAAAAATTCTTAGGTCAAGATTCAGAAATGACCAGAAGTAAAATCTTGAATAAAATCTTGACATTGGTTGCCAAGTGAACTAATTATTTTTGTTCATCTAGCTCACGGGTGTCAAACTCGGGGTGTCACATGAGGTTCATGTTTTTCCCATTCGCGGAGCTGGGGTGGACATGGTCTGCGTGTGACACATCCAGTCCACGGGCTGCCAGTTTGACAGCCCTGATCTAGCTTATGAAGTGGCACCAGAATTACACTTCATTAAATTGACCCCTCATTTCTATATTGACTTCTCCAGTTTCTGTATGGATTTCTCAAGATCACTTGCTCTACAACTGATTAAAAGAAGTTGCTCATAATGTTACACAAACACACCAGTTGCTACTATATTAAAAAAGCATGAACATATTCCTCTGAATCTCCCTTTGAAAGAAAACCAAGTTTTTATCAGAAGCTGATTTTTAAAAAGAACCATTATGAATACAGAATATTCAACTGGTATAAAATTTTGATTATGCAGGAAAAGATATACTTCTGACAGAGCCACTGATACTATCAGTAATGTGGTATAATGAGAACCAAAACCCATCCACATTCCATTAAGTAATTTCAGATAGACTTTCACCGCAAGCAATGAAAAGGCAGCTATCTTCTTTCCCACACTTACAGATAGTACTTGGGTTATGACCATAACTGAGTCAATTTCCATTGCTGAGACATAGAGTGAGTTTTGCCCCATTTTACAACTTTCTTGATGCAGTTGTTAAATGAATCTGACTTCACGATTAGTTTTGCTTGTCAGGAGATCACAAAAGGAGATCACATGACCCCAGGACACTGCAACCGTCATAAATATGAACCAGTTGCCAAGCATCTGAATTTTGATCATGGAGATGCAACGGTCATGTGTGAAAAATGGTCATAAGTCACTTTTTTCAGTGCCATTGTAACTTTGAACAGTCATTAAATGAATAGCTGCAAATATTAAATCTGTATTAAATCTGAACTCAGAATCCCCAAGTTAAAGCCCCCGATTGTCCATGAAAATCAATGAATTATTTAGGGAAAAAGGTGGTTTCCACTTTAGCATATTTCAAAACACACCCATGCAAACACTACAAACAAAATATGATAGAACTATCCATCATAGTAAATTACTGAATATCGCTTTCTGATGCTTAACAGAATTCTAAATAGGCTCCTTAACTTTATTTAATCCTATTATTTCTGCTATACAGACTCAAGAACTTGGTTAAAATTTCAAGCTTTTTTATTTTAAAGTACTGTACCATTCTTTCACATTTTCTTTATACTTACAAAAACATAACTTTTAAGGTACTTCTGAAAAACACCCTGGTCTGTAGTACAGAACATGTTTTCATTTTATACTAATTAAAGAAGTGGTTAAAATAACATATTGGCTGTACAAAGTTTCCTTCAATTAAGCATTTAAAGGCCAAGTCTACAAAATAACAGAAGCATCACGGATACTAGAACAGACCAAGCCTCAAAAACATATTTTAAATGGATGTTAATAGGGAGTAGAGACTCATTCTCCCACACTGGCAGAACGTAAATTGGAATGGAAAATGCGGCTTATTGTCAAATATTTTCCTAATCAGCAAGGAGTAGACCAGATTAAAAATGGATAACTCCCCCAAAAGGATGATCTAAATTTGCAAAGTGGAAGCCCTGAAGGGAGACGAGGAAGCTTTCAGTCACAGGACTCGACTTTAACAGAGAACTTTGCTGCTTGAAATAAAAAGAGATAAAAAGGATGAGTCTTCTGAGATTATTGGAACATGTATCATATGTTGTTCTCCTTCTTCATGCCCCAACTGGATCAGATGCAAGGAAACATTTAAATGGCAGTTGTTTGCTATCCTTGGAGCACTAGACAATAATGGCATTCTGAACAGAACTACAATTCCTCATGAACAGGACAAAGAGCAGAAAGCTGCTGATTTCATATTATATGCAATAGCATTTATTGTTTCTTGTGTAGCTAAAGTGCATTGGGTTTCATAAAGTGCAGTGAGTCATTTAATAGAAAGCAGCTACCTATTGTTCTAAGCAGTGGCTTAAACAGGGTATATCACATATTAAAGTGTGCTGCCAGAATAGGAACAAAAAGGTATTAAATTCAGGGTGGCCTCCTTCCTATTCTATTTTCTCTCTGGCCTGAAATATAACAAATGACATCTAAATCAATGTTAAATGTAGCAAACCACTCCTACCGTTTTTCTAGAAGGTAAGTAAAAATAGACATCTTCTTTTTATGAGGACTTACTCCATTTAGTCATGCTTTTTTTTAAATAAGAAAACTGCTCTGCTTTACGGCTAACCAAAAGTAGCAAAATCTTATCTGAACAGAGACAAAGGTCTACAATATGTAAGTTATTACAAGTCAAATATGTGAAACTACAGACCAGACATCTATGAAGCCCTTCTAACACCTCTTTTGGATTAAACAAATCAAAACATTCAAATTCATTATTCTGAATTATTTAATTCAAAGTTTGATTGTTGTGTAATTTTGAAAAGTGATTTCAAATGAGTTTTAAAATGATGTCTACATATGTCAAAGTTAATATTACATTATGCAATAGGAGATTATATATATAGTGACAAACTAACTAAATAAATGAATATATAAGAGTAATTCTCCACAGATAACTACTGTATCTATAAGGGTGCTATTTAAATTGACAAAGGCATCAAGGCATACTTTTTAATAGGATTTTTAAAAGTAGGAAAGGACAAGAGTTGTCAGGCTCCCCCACCAAGTAACCCAATCTCTTTTAGTACCCTTAATCTGTACTTTTTTATTTAAAAAACCCATCACTTTAATATCTTATCTACTATTTCAAAGTGCCTGTTAGTGGAGGCTAGAATAAGCCAAGTAAGTGAGAATGAATCTATAATCCAATCAAACAGCTTAACCCTGTTCTAGGATCTCTGCAAAGGTCCAAAATGATCCAATGTGGCTCAAGGGATGCACAACTTGTTACATCCATCCATCCATCCAACAAGAGCATGGGATCCCTTTTGAGAGATCACAGTGGGCAACATTAAAGTCCAAAGAGAAGAAACCCTAAAGGGGTGGCTTGACATTGATAAGATGTGTCAAGATTCTTCCCCCCCCTCCCCTCAAGGCTCTGTGTCAATCATGACCAGGATGGGATAAATTATGAGCTGGGGTTGTGACAGCTTAGCCCTAAGAATTACTAAGTTATTATATTTTTTAAAAAAAAGGTGGGACCCGTAATCCCTGCCTTCATAGTCCCTTGTACTCGTATCTATTTCATGTATTCATAATCATGTCTATATTCATATCTGTTATCTAATTCATGCTTGATGATATAGATAGATAGATAGATAGATAGATAGATAGATAGATAGATAGATAGATAGATAATAGATTTTTTTTTAAAAAAAGGCTTATAACAGGACCGGCGATGGGGGGGCTCGGCCAAAAGCTCTTTCCCGGGTGGGCTCGGCCACTCAATTCCAAGGCAGGGAACCAGGACGAAGAGCCTCCTTCTCCCGATCGAGGGACCCTGGATGCCCAGGCAGGCCTTGAGGGGGGCCACCTCCCTCTTCCGTAGGGCAGCGGACGGCCCTGCGCCGGGGGGGAGGGAGGCCGGGCAGGAGCCTCGCGACCAAGGCGGGCAGGCCCTTCCCCACCCCATCCTTCCCTTCCCCCTCAGGATCCCTGGCCCCACAGCCAGTCCGGTCCCGCTCGCCCGGTTAAGACCCAGGCCGGGATTCCCGGCTGCTCCCCAACGGCCGCCCGATACCTGTCACAGCCGTACAGCCGGCGTCCCGGAGCAAGCCCGCCTTCTTGGCCCCGCTGCACCCTTGGCCGCTCGGGCAGCGCCTCTTCTCACTACCACCTCCCGCCCGCGCCTCCAGCCGAGGCGCAAGAAGGCGAATCAGGCAGGCTCCGCCCACTCCCCCCCCTCCACCTCCGTCGTCGTCGCCAGCCCCGCCCGCTGGAGTGTGACGCCCCGGCGAGGCTCTCCCCCCGCCTTTTCCGAAGGAGGGAGGGGGGGAGCGGAAATCAATTGGCCGGTGGATCAATTGGCGGCACGCGCAGCCCACGCCCTACTCTCCCTCCCCCTCCCTTTCCCGAATGTCGACTCACCTCGGCCCCTCCGCTCGCCGTAGTGCTTCACGCCCCACCCACCCGAGCCTGCCAATCACGAGAGGCGCGTGGCGATCCTTCTTCCCCCCCCCTCCCCCTTCTCCCTCCCACCTTTAGATCATTGCTGCCGAAACATTGTCCCGCCTCCTCCGAGAAGGCCTGGGCGGCACCCAGACACGTCCCGGATGCCACCCTTTCCCTTTGCTCGTCCTTCCATGCTCCTCCCCCTCCCCACCGAGCGCGAGAGGCGGTCTGGCGCAAGCGCAGTGGGCCCGAGCGGGAAGTTCGTCTGCTCTTCTATCTTAGGGTTGAGTCCGAGGCGGCTCTGGCTGGCTTCGGGCTCGATTTGTCTTTTGTCCGGAGAGGGTGGTGCCTTTGACAGCCGCCTTGTACGGAGGGCAAAAAAAAAAAGGGGGCTCAACGATCGTCCCGCTCTTTCAGAGCTGCCTGGCGACGCCATTCCAAATTTTCATTTTTTTGCGTTCAAGAGATTCTACTTTCACGTAAGTTGATAGAAGAAGGTCTTATTCAGTACTCTCGGCTACATGGCAAACAGGCTGATCATAGTAATACAGGAGGACATTTGTGGCTCGAGGTTGATATGAAGGGTCCTTGGTGCTCTATGGGTTGCCTAGTTTAATGAAATGAAGGACTAGGGGAGACATGATAGCAGCCTTCCAATATGCTCTTGTTTTCTGGCAGACGTTTAGAATAGCAGAGTTGGAAGGGACCTTGGAGGTCTTCTAGTCTAACCCCCTGCTTAGGCAGGAAACCGTACATCACTTCAGACAAATGGCTATCCAACATCTTCTTAAAGACTTGCAGTGCTGGGGCATTCACAACTTCTGGAGGCAAGTTGTTCCACTGATTAATTGTTCTCACTGTCAGGAAATTTGGCTTGGTTCTAGATTGCTTCTCTTCTTGATTAGTTTCCACCAGGGGTGAAATTCAGCAGGTTCAGAAATTTTGAGTAGTCCAGAGAACTGGCAAATACCACCGCTGGCTGGCCCCAGAGTGGGGTGGGAATGGAGATTTTGCAGTATCGGTCTCCTGCCATGCCCATCAAGCCACGCCCATAGAAAAAAGTAAAAAAAAAATGAATTTCACCACTGGTTTCCACCTGTTCTACCCTCAGGTGCTTTGGAGAATACTTTGACTCCCTCTTCTTTGTGGCAGCCCCAGAGATATTGGAATACTGCTATCCTGTCTCCCCTGGTCCTTCTTTTCATTAAACTAGACATACCCAGTTCCTGCAACCGTTCTTCATATGTTTTAGCCTCCAGTCCTCTAATCATCTTTGTTGCTCTTCTCTGCACTCTTTCTAGAGTCTCCACATCTTTTTTTACATCGTGGCGACCAAAACTGGATGCAGTATTCCAAGTGTGACCTTACCAAGGCATTATAAAGTGGTATTAACACTTCACATGATCTTGATTCTCTTCCTCTGTTTATGCAGCCTAGAACTGTGTTGGCTTTTTTGGCAGCTGCTGCACACTGCTAGCTCATATTTAAATGGTTGCCCACTAGGACTCCAAGATCCCTTTCACAGTTACTACTATTGAGTTTCATTATCATCACTAGGTAACATCAGTGCTACAAAGAATGTAATATAAACCAAGAGCCAAGGTCCCTCCTTACTGGTACTCATGATGTTACCTAGTTTGGGTAATGAAACGTCTGCAAGAAAATAAGGAAGCTCTGAGAGCACCAAGGGCTGATCATAAACTGCTAATCAGGATCAGATCTGGCTAGAGTTGGGAGATCTAGATCTAGAGGTGGTTAGAATGGGAGACGACTAGGAAATCCCCCCCCCGAGGGGGGGGGAGTGAGAGGGATTATCATGGATTGGAAAGTCCAAAATAATTATGGAAAAAGACGACTTACAGGTAGTCCTCGACTTACGATCACAATTGAACCCAGAATTTCTGTGGTTAAGTGATACATTTGTTTTGAGTGAGTTTTGCCTCATTTTACAATCCTCCTTGCCACAGTTGTTAAGCAAATCACTGCAAGTTAGCAACCCATTTGTTTTAGCGAATCTAGCTTCCCCCATTGACTTTGCTGGTCAGAAGTTTGCAAAAGGGGATCAGATGACCTTGGGATTCGGCAACCGTCGTAAGTATGAACCAGTTGTCAAGCATCTGAATTTTGATCACATGATCATGGGGATGCTACAAAATTGTAACTGTTAAAAACGGTCCTGAGATACTTTTTTTCAGTGTCGTCCTCACTTTGAATGATCACTAAATGAACTGTTTTAACTTAGTTAAAAGTATTTTAACTTAACTGCACCTGTGTATGGTTTGCCAATTGCACAGTGGCAGATAGGACAGCACTCCAGAGGGTCAATGTCATTGCCCAGAGGATCATGGGTTGCCCTCTCCCCTCTTTGGAAGAGCTTTATAGCGCCTGCTGCCTTAAGAAAGTTCAAAACATTCTTAAAGATCCATCTCATCTTGGGCACCCTTTTTTTGAACTATTACCATCTGGCAGACGGTACAGGATAATAAAAACAAGGACAAATAGGCTGAAAAACAGCTTATATCCCATGGCAGTAACTATTGAATTCTATGGTATAGTGCAATATCAGGTTTTCAATTTCAATTATATAGAATGTAAAGGATGTATGTTTGTGTTTTTATTTTTATAATGTACACTGAAGATGGCATTTAATTTCATTGTACGATGTGCAATGACAATAAACTAAACTTAACTAAACTATCTTAAGTCAAGGACTACCTGTACTAACTGCTTCTATAATGCCAGCAAGAAAACTGTATTATGTCCTTCATCCATCTCAATGTGAAGGAAACCACTTTTGCTTTTTTTAAACAATCATTATCCCTGCTTCCTTTCCAAGCATTTACCTTAAATTAATGCTTTTTAGCTGTTCTTGGTATGATAACACTTTTTTTTTAATACAGCTTCATAGACAAATGAAAATATTTATAGAATCTGTGGGGTTGCTAAGAACTCACACCGATTTGATGGCAATCAGTTTTATGCAAAAGCAGCTTGACTTGACACTGTATTATAAACATTAATCATTCCCAGCTGGAAGGCCAGACATCTTGCTGAAGAGGAAGAGTGGGACATGTAGTCCAAATGTGAGCAAGATGCACCAAGGTGGAAACATCATGCTGAGCAAAGTAATAGCATTGGAACTTAGCTACTCAAGTCCTTGAGTAGCAATGTGATGAAAGCAGATTAATCTTCAATTCGGTTAGAATCATTTGCATCTTTGGACAAGGCTATTATGGAGAAACAAATTTAAGCATGTTTTGGGAACACTTGTTTTTCTGAGTTTCAATGAAAACCTTGGATAAAGTTCATAATTATTATAAAGGATAATCAACCATATCTTTTTTAAAATCAAAGGCATACCTGTAAAATATATTCAATTCTGATGCATTAAAAAAAAGCCTCTGGGATGGGAAAATTGTTCCTCTTGGTGCACCTTGATATGAGTTGGCTGCATTTCCTTTCCTTTATCTCATGCCTTTCATTGACTTACTGTATAAGATATAGATATAGTTAGATAACTGGATAGATACCATGTATAGATATAGAGATGTAGATGTGTATGTATGTACGTATGTGTTCTGACCTAGGCTTCCCCAAAAAGCACAAAGCAGATTCCTGGTCCTGACAAAACCCCTTTTATTAAACGAATGTGAATTCCTCTCATTCACATTCAGCAAGGGCCTGGCAAACAGTCTTTCAAAGGTGAATTTATGACCACAGGCCTTATCTAGCTTGGAAAGCTGCCATGTAAATGTTTTCCAAATGCAGTGCTGTGCAAGGAAAGACTTGGCACAGAGTCTCTGAGATTCACAGATAGATCTTCATACTCCTGAAATGAATGAACAAATGAATGAACGAATTGTTTCCTGCAAAAGCCCACTCCCCTTTTGGTCCTCTTTTATTTCCTATGGGAGGGNTATATATATATATATATATATATATATATACACACATACATACATACATAAATGGTGTGGTGATCAGTGATAAACTCTTCAGATTTAAGGCTTTTTCTTCCTCAGCAAAGCTGCAAATATAGGCTCCTGCTTACTTTATGTATCTGGCCTGTTTTCTGGTCTTTTGTTACATGTCAGCTATGTGTCAGTTGTATTAAGCCCCATGAAAGAACAGAAGAAACTGTTGCTGTTTTTTCTGAACAGAAAAGCAATTTGTAATAGTTTTAATAACAGTGTAGTTCTGAGTTTTTGGCCTGTGTCTCTTGCAAAAAACAAACATAGATACAGCAATGTTTTTTCCCCCCAAAACCTACCATTGCTCTGGATTTGACCATTGGGCTGCTGGCCGTTTTCTACTCTCCCAACTATTTCTTGTCGGTCTGAAAGTGTTCCCTGGGAGGACAGATAGCTTGGCACGTCAGGCGGTACAATAGTCTCATCTTGAAAAACAGGAAAAAAGAGAGAAAATTAAAGAACCAGTGACACAATGTTAAGAACAGTGTTGGAATTTAGAAACAGCAGAAACCATGCTGGGTCAGGAATTCCGGGAGCTGAAATCCACAGGTCATAAAGTTGCCATAATTATCTAAAACTGATCTAAACAAACTGGGAATTGTGTAGAGACCGGTTCCAGGCATCATTATATTCCCAAATACAATATTAAATGATGGCTGGGAATGTCTGGAAATTACATTAACTAGGAAAGACTCTATAGCAGTGATGGTGAACCTTTTTTTCCTCAGGTGCCAAAAGCACCCGTGCACCAACTCCCATAATGCAATGCCCCCTGTAGGCCCCGCCCCCTGTGCATGCACATGCGGTCCCCATCCCCTGTGCATGCATGGGTGACCCCCCCACTCCCCCATGCATGCACACGTGACCCCCTCATCCCAATGCAGGTGTGTGTGTCTCCCAGCAGAGACCCGAAAATCAGCTGGTCGGTGGGAAGTGCGCATGCATGCACAGTGGACCTGACCTCGGCGATGGCTCGGTGCCCACAGAGATGGCTCCGCGTGCCACCTGTGGCACAGATGCCATAGTTTTGCCATCACGGCTCTATAGGTTCCAGAAATAAGTAAAGGAGAAATCTGGGGGCTACCCTGAACATTTAATCCTGTCAGTATAAAGTTAATTGACATATTCCCATTGTATTGCCAATGAAGAGTGGATGCCATTGATTTGCTCTTAAGTTGCTGGTCCAATCATGCATCATAAAAATCAGCTGATGGGTGAATCATGGTTATATTAAGGTGTGCATCCCCTTCGGAGTCACATTTCAAGAGCAAGACCTCTAGCCTGAACCAAAGAACTACAGCTTTATTATATATCACATAACCAACAATTTAATAAAGAAGACACCTTCTCTTTTGCGGTTATGAGATAGGGGAGTTTTCATTTTTAGGTAATACCTAATACTTGGCTGGAAAATGGATTATCTTTGACAAAAGTGAGAGCACAGGGATTAACAAGCAGCAGAGAGTGACAAGCCTTATTGCAATGCTTTTTGAATCTTATTTCCGAGCTTACCAATTTTATTGGAAAAAGAGCATCATAGCCAGTGGGTATTTTAGCAGCACTTGAATTTTTGAGCAAAGAAGCCTTTCTACAAAGGTGTTCTTCAAAACATATTTAGGATAATTGTCAAAACTGCTGGCACATAAAGTTAAGCTTAGGGGATGTGCAATCTCTTGGAAGGATCGGTTGGAATGCATGAAGACAAACCTATGAATTATGGGTTGAAACTAATCAAGGAGAGAAGCAACTTAGAAGTAAGGAGAAATTTCTTGACAGTTAGAACAATTAACCAATGGAACAACTTGCCTCCCAAAGTTCTTAATGCTCCAACACTGGAAGTTTTTAAGAAGAGAGTAGATAAACATTGGTCTGAAGTGGTGTAGGGTTTCCTACCTAGGCAGTGGCTCGGACTAGAAGACTTCCAAGGTCCCTTCCAACTCTGCTATTCTATTATTCTGTTCTGTTCTGTTATGCAAATACTTAGCAATTCCGCTTGGAACTGCCTACTATATATGGAGAAGAACAAAGCCAATCTGCTTTTGAAGCTTTGAATGTCGGACTCAGTGTACTCAGTGGAGATGAGGCATCAGGCCAGTAAATGCTCAGCTCCGTTCAGTCGTACAGACTGTCCACCCCAAATAAAGGGATTAGAAAGGGTCATAAAAAGGGGGGGGGGGACTCAATGGAGATGAGAAAGTTATTTCTTACGATGTAGTGTTCTAGCAACCAAAAACAATATTTTGGACTAACCTGTGTTTGTGACACTGTATTCTTCACTCTTCTTTCTGGTCTGATAGATGATACACACCCAAACCAGAGACGTTAAGACAATGCTACAGACTACAGCAATAGTCATGATTCCAAATGTGGTTCCATCTTTCCGGCAGCCAATTGAAGGCAATACGCTCACTTGGCTGTGGGCTCGTTCTGTTCCAACCGTATTTGAGATTTCACATGTGTACTTCCCAGCATCTTCTAACACAACGTTGCGGACAATAAGCAGCTGGTTGCCTGGAGTAAAGTGATGCCTATCGGTCACAGTCAGAGAATGGTCGCCCTTCAACCAGTTAATACGTGGCGGTGGACTTCCAGTTGCTTTGCATTGCAGGACCACAGTTTCACCAACAGACACAACACGGTCTTCCAATGGATGAGCCAAACTTGGAGTCTCTGCAAGATACAAAAATA